CCCGCCCTGCCCTGCCCCATTTAGCATTTTCAAAATTTTGCCCTGCCCCGCCCTGCCCCATTTAAGTTTTTTTTTATCCTATCCCTTTTTTCTTTTTTTATCCCACTATCCACAGTAACAACCCCTTAATCCTTAAAAATAACAGCTTCTCTGAATTTTCTTCTTGCAGTGAATAGGGTCTTTTTTAGAAGAGTGTCATCGTCATTTCTAGAAGTAAGAAACTGGAACAAATTTGTAGTTAAATCATCCCTGCCATTCTTATTTCTTCATCTTACTTATGAATAGCATGATAAACTAGAAATAAAAACTTAATCCCTCACAACTTTTTAGCTACACTGGCATCTTGTTCTAGATATATACAATTGGGTTGTGATGATTGAAACTCTTGCATTTTGATTTGATTTTGGTTTAATTTCTAAAATTATTAGTCTAAAAATATGAAGATATATTAAAAAGTGTTTGAATTAATTTTAAAGTAATGAAACATTAACCAAGTCATAACCATACATAAGGGTAGGAAAATAAGCAACTAAATCAAATGGTAATAGCCCATATATCACAGGCATCTCGTTAATGGCCCAGTTTTTAGCCGGCAAATCAAACCCAAACCTGCCCTGCCCCATTAAAGTTCTTCAAAATTTAAGTTTTACCCTGCCCTGCCCCGCCCTGCCCTTGCCCTGCCCCATTGCCATTCCTAATTAAAACCAGTGCGGCAAAAGAATACAATCAACCTCATTAGTGTCTATATTCTTCAAGTAGGATTAAATGAGAAAACTGAAAGCAAATTGTCTCTACTCTATACTTCGCAAAGGCGCAAACTGCATTATAAGGAAACCAATACTAAATTTCGGAAAAATATAGGTGTGTCCAAGTATCAAAATTGACCAAAACCTACTTTAAAGAGGGAATCACACTTGATAACATTTAAAAGTAGGTATCACAGTCAATTAGACTTCATCCTTGCCAAAACAATTGTCCGGACCAGGCGTAACTCTAAACACCCAAAATAGACGGGCGGCTCTAGATGTGAAGCGAAAGTGTGGGGCAAAACAGAAGGACAGCTGCAAGCACCGAGGATTCTATGGGGGATACTAAATGGTACACACCAAATTGCATTTAAGGACAAGTTATTGAAGGAGGCATCATCGGAGTTAGAAGCTAACACAGTTATCCAGTGGAAGAAAATGAATAGTTGCATTAAAATGTAGCAAGTGTATAGCTATATCTAAAAGTATAAGATCTCGACCACAGTAATTGTGACATTGGAATGATAAGATACAAGGCTAACAAAGGAAAAAAAAAGAGTGGTATAGGAAGTTATCAACAGCAGTAGATGGAAAACCCTTTGAAAAACATAAGAGAGTGAAGAGAGAAGACAAGAAGGCTACTGACAAAGCCCGTGAAAAATCCTTAGACGACTTGTACTAAAAGCTAGATATAAAGAAATGTATAAGCTAGCATGGCTGAGACTGATGAGGGGTAAATATTTGAACAAAGTTGTATTAAAGACGATTCTCAACAAGTTATAATAGGAGGTAGTGAAATCAAAGAAAGATGGAGATAGTAGTTCGATCACTTGTTCAACAGAAATCACAGGGATAACTTTAAAGATTTATACATCCATGACAAAAAAAAAAAGTTAGCTCACTCGAAGCATTGTGTCCCCTAAAGTAAAGGATGCCATGAAATATGAGAGTCAGAAAAGCATGTGGTTGAGTGGTTCAAATGGTATCCTTGTGGAGGTTCTGAAGTGCCTTAAAGAAGTTGTAGTATGACTCACCAAGCTACGAATTTTGTTTTAAGGAGTGAAACAACAACAAAAGAACATACCAAACGAGTAGCGAAAGAGTGTACCTTACTTCTGATAAATAAATCCGAAAGATATATTTAAAGTTGTTCAAACTTCGAGAAAAGAAGATAAAGCAAACATTTAGGGATATTACAAGAGTGACAGAGAACTAGTTTGGATTAATGCATGTTAGATTACAACAAACGCTACATGCAAAAAAAATTATGGAAATTTATAGAGAGACTATATTTTTGCTATGAAATTTATAGGGAAAAGGAGGATTTCCGCATGATATTCATTGGCCTAGCCCTACCTCCAAACTAGCCGAGGAGCACTTCATGCACGAGGTAAGCCCTAGTTATTCATTGACTTAGAGAAAGAAAATGATATAGTGCCACTAGAAGTCTTGTGACCAGAGACAGATCCATGGTTTTACTTCTATCGGTTCATGACTCAGGTTCCAACAACTGAACCCATCACCTTGTTTAAGTTATAGGATCATACTTCATAGTTCAATATTTTCAACAATTCCATTGAATTTTATATATATAAATCGAGGTCTAGCGTAAAAGTTATGAGTTCAAATGAACCCACATCTAAAGTTCATGACTCAGGTTCCAACAACTGAACCCATCACCTTGTTTAAGTTATAGGTTCATACTTCATAGTTCAATATTTTCAACAATTCCATTGAATTTTACATAGATAAATCGAGGTCTAGTGTAAAAGTTATGAGTTCAAATGAACCCACATCTATAAGGCTGGATCCGGCCTTGCTTGTGAGTGCTTGAGAAAAATGGAATTTGTGTCAAAATATAAATGCATAGAGGATATGTACAAGTGAGCATTCACAACTGTGAGACAGTAAGAATAGAGAGGCTATATTTTTGCTAAGAAATAGATGAAATTTTATTAGGAGAGGAAGGAGGATTTATACATGATATTCATTGAAGGCTGAGGAGCACTTCATGAATGATGTAAAGTCCTAGTTGTTCATCGACTTAGAGAAAGAAAAATGATATAGTGCTAGTGAGTGCTTGAGAATAACGGAATTTAGCACCCAAGGGTGTGGCCTAGTGGTCAATGAAGAGGAAAAAGAACCATGAGGTCTCAGGTTCAAAACCCTGCAAATGCAAAACACACTAGGTGATTTTCCCGTCCAACCCTTGGTGGCTAGAGTTACACGGCACCTGATTTGCACGCAAGTTGGCCGTACACCATGTCATAAAAAACAAGAATGGAATTTGTATCAAAATATAAATGCATAGAGGATATGTACAGGCAAGCATTCACATCTGTGAGATAGTGGCAATAGGTATTTCCATAACTGTGGGTCCAGTGCTTTTACCAATGATCTATATCCCCTCAGGTCTCTAGGACACCAAAAAATTCCATTACCAAGAAACAATGAAAATGATAAAAATAAACAAGCCCCAACAACAACAACCACTGTGCTTCAGTCCAAACAAGTTGAGGCCGGCTATATGAATTCTCCTTGACTATGCTATTCCATCCAAAACTCCTGTCGGGCAAATATTTTATAAATGCAAATAAAAATTACTGGAAAATACATAAGCCCCAATTTAAAAGAATGGATTGAAGTACCTGTTTTCCTCAGATTGAGGATGGATTGACTTGAATTTTCCAGGAGCAGCAAGTGCAGCCCACAAGCATAATACTAAACTAACTAGCAATTCCATCACAACCTGCACATCATTACCCAATACATAGTAGATCAATCTAAAGATTCAATTTATATCAACAGTGGCAATTCCGCAAATTCAAACAAAGACTAATAAATGAAAAAATTACGTTGATGGGGGGACCAGAAAACTCTTCCTCGGTAATCTTGAGCAAAGCTCTATCTGAAATTCAATAAAAATTGAATCTTTAGATAAACAAATAAAAAGAGGAGAAAAAATAAAGGCAAAGGGGATTATTACATTGGACAGTGGAATAGGCAGCGTGAGAAAGAATTAGAACGCCGATGACGCCAACGAGGAAACCGGCACCCATCTTGGTCGGAGAATAGATCGGCGGCCGGCGAGGGAGAAATTCGGACGGCGGAGATCAAGAGAGTGAGCTTGATTGGTGGTGTTTGTTTGGCTTAGCTGGTTGTACTTTGAAGATTTAGCAGCTAGAGTGGATCCGTATTCTATTTGGATCCGATACTTACACAGTTACACCCGACGTAATTATTAGTCAGATAAAAGGCACAGTACTAAGTTTATTGCAGCATTAGTCCCTGTATTTTCACTATTTATTACCAACAGAATAAACCTAACTAACCGTCCGTCAAATCAATTAAATTAAAAATAGTCGACAGATATATAATATATGAATAATTCATTTATTATACAAGTCAAACATAACGTAATAAACATATAATCTATGTACACCGATTAAATTAAGTAAATAAATTTGGCCAAGTAAAAATCTCTTTTTTCTTTTTTCTTTGTTTTTTTATTTCTTGTTTTTCAATGACTCATCATCACTCAAGTCATGTTCTTTTTTTCTTCTTCATTCAAGTCATGTTAAGATTATGATTTAGAAGTAAGAAAAAAGAAACTGTCCCTCAGCACATGTCTTAGGGGGGTTTTTTCACTTTAAGTACAATACAATAGTTATAATTCTTCGATATCAACTTAAATGGGTAAGCATTAAGTTTTAAGTGAGTATTAACGACATTATAACATGGCCGAATATAAATTTTGATAAAAAAAATTTTTACTTGAACATATCCAAATCATATCTAGATGTACACTTTTGGAATTCATGCTTTTCAACAATGTTCGCTATTTTGGTGCTCATATAATCTAAAGCTAAATTAGTTCGACCTTACTTACTAACTTTAATTCACTAAAGTTACGAAGTATACTTGTTTGATCAGTATAATTTAATTTTTAAGTAGAAAAAGAATAAGGGCGCATATCGTAAGCATCTTCACTCTAATTAGGCTTAGAGAAATGTCACGACCCAAACTGTAGGGTCGTGACAGGCACCCAGTGCATAACTCACCTGAGTACCAACGTAATGTATCCTTCTTATCATACTATCATGGGTAAGCGAACCGGAAAGGTCGTCATGAGATAACTAGAATTAAACATAAGAGAATACTCCACATAGGATGACCTAACATGATATAGAAGCTTATGCATGCGACATACGGGCCTATAAGGACGACGTGATCATTTGTATACTCAAAACATAGGCCAAGAAGATCATACAAGTATCCACATACATGATATCTGTCTACAAGCATCTACGAGTAAATAAATATCATAAAGTTCGAGATATTGCCCCGCCATACCAATTAATACATGTCCAAATCATACTGACCAGATAGGCAACTCCGGATCAAGTGGAGTGCACCAACACCTTCCGCTGAGCTGATAGCCTACTAGGAGAACTCTCAACATGTCTACCTGCGGGCATGAAACACAATGTCCCCAGGCAAAAGGGACGTCAATACAAATAAAGTACCAAGTATGTAAGGCATGACAGTAGTATGTAAAAGACATGAAAGAAACATGGAGTAAAGAACTCAACCTGTAATTCTGAATAGCTCTGTGAATCATGAAAAATTTATAATGTCATGCATGTGCGTATAAATGCCATACCATGCATAGGTATATGTGTACATAACATCATAAAGCCTCTAAGGGCATCCCATCATATCAACCACTATGGGAGAAATCATCAACGTATACCAGCTGATCAGGTGGTGGTGCGTATATAACGCCATAACCTTTTTTCATATCCCGTATACATATAACATACGCGTATATAACGACATCTGGTCATGGGTCAATGCACATGTATAAATGAATGCAATGCATAATGAAGTAAGTCAATAAGATTTCTCGGAATGTCATAAGATCAATATGCCTTCGGTTAATATCATGAAATAAACTTTATCAACTTACGTATTTTCTGAGACCCGTGAACAGATGATAGAATAATATGACACATGGGGAATCAAAAACATAGGCACCCATAGTACTTCTAAGAATATAATCATTTGTGAAAGTTGTGTACTTGCTCGTTTCGTTGCATCATATGGATCATGCCAAAAGGAAAGAAGGGATAGCCTTAACATACTTTTGCAATCTTCTCTCCAATCGTCAACCCAGCTCAATACAATCTTCTTACGTCTACAATGAGTAACTCGACTTCGTCGTCATCATACAAGCATTGTAATTCTCATATTTCAAAACTAATATTCTACAAGAAAATGGAAAACTCCTTCCCTGTTTTTACTACATCCCATAAGTTACTAAAAGTCATCAAACAACCCAAACAACAACAATATAATTCACAATAAGCTCTCTGATTACTTCAACAACCATTTTGAGCGGCAAACTCGATTTATAATTAACAAAAAATATACTTTAATCCAATTCATTTTCCATGAATCTACCTACAACTTGCATAACATCATACTTATGCTTACCATATCATTTTCATCCCAAAACATCACAAGAATAATCTTCAAAAATAGTCCACATGCCTAGCACTTTAACCTTTATCGTCAACCTCTTGTTTTCATGTTGTCTTCTTTAATCCACCGAATTAGCATATAGATAAGCTTAACAACAGCAGCCACAACATAATCAAACTATTTATAACAATTTTCAGCCACAACCAACCCTATATATAGCCTCAACACAGCCCCCCCCCTTCCCAAAAAAAAAAACAATTCCTTATGCCATGTCAATTACTATCTTGAAGATTTTAACTCAAACAACTCAAATAATATATGATTAAATTTAAGCATAACCAAGAACATGATTTACATACCTTAGGCAGTAGATACAACTTGAAATTCTAGCCATAACAATATATATATATATATATATATATATATATATATAGAGAGAGAGAGAGAGAGAGAGAGAGAGAGAGAGAGAGAGAGAGAGAGAGAGAGAGCGCCTTAAAACAACCCAACAAAAGATAACAATAACTCTTTCCCTTTCAAGTGTTATCTTGTAATCTTCATCCAATAACTTAACTAACACATAGATAATATTAATCCCAAGAAATAGGATGTTATATATACCTTAAAGAATCTGTAAAAACTTGAACCAAAACTTTTCTTATTTTACAACCACCCTTAATCACATCACGACACCATAGAGACTCTCTTCTTCACTTAGGCTAACTTTTGATGATGATTTGAGTTGATTTCCCTTGAGTTTGGTTCTTGGGATCTTGGAATATGTTAGGGAGGGTTTTGGAGAGCTGTTAGATGAATTTTGGGTGAGAAATGACCCGAAATGAGTTTGAAACACCTTTAAAAAAAAAGTAAGGTCGGAGGTCGTCTCAAGTGGGTCCCAACCGAGCTGCTTGCGCAATCTCGCAAAAATATGGATATCTCTCTACTCCGACGTCGTATCGACGAACGGTTTACAGCGTTAGAAACTAGATACATGGAGCTTTAATTCGATATAAAGATATCCCTGTAACTCTCAATACATTGGGAGGAAACTGCCTCGCAACCTGGCCTATAAACCTGCCAGTTTCTCCGAAGTACGGCGACGTGACTTGGCGACCCTACTTTAAAAATCCATATTTCTCTACCTCGATATCGTATGAATAAATGGTATAGACCGTTGGAAACTAGGTTCAAATACCTTCATTTTGGTATGATATATGTCCTAGAATGACATCATAAAGCTTACGAATTAATTTCTTAAAACGACTCATTACAAGGCAAATTTTAGCTCGATTTTTCCGCAACTTAAATCCAGTTTTTTTCAAACTTTATATTTTATATCCAAACATTATATATAGTAATATCATGACTTTAAACTTATTTAAATCATGATTATCAAGTCTCATATTAATCTCAACTTACTTAAGATTTCGGTAAACCTTTCTTATCCTTATAGAAGTATTTCGTCCTTTTTGAGCTTACATAAGATAATCCTATAATGACAGCGACGTATGAAGTACGGGGTGTAACAACGTGTCCCCTTATAAACATTTTTTTTCGAATGATAACTCTTAAAGGCTTGCAAAAATGGGACGTAACATCATTAAATCACTTTATATACTTTCAAAGAGGATCTCATTTTCAAGCTTATATCAATTCACTTATGACGTACTTTCACGTACAAAAACATGAGGTGTAACAAGAAAAATAATTAATGTTTATTAGTTTGCCCATAAAATAATAACAACAATATACACATGCATTTACTTCTTTAGTGTCGTTCTTAGTCACCCCCTTATTTCTCGTCACTATTTGCACTTATTTGGAGAGTGTAAGTCTTATTTTTCGAATTAGAATTGGATAAAATCATAGTAAATTTTAAACAAATAATTAGATCAATGCAATTTGAATTAAATTAGGGGTAACAAAATATCTTTAAATTTAAAATTAACAGAAAAATAACATTAAATCGTCTCATAAAGATGTAAAATCTTAGAAGAAAAAAAAAAAGAGTGTGGATGAAACGTTATATATTAAAGCTTATATTGAGGGAGGAGAGTGTAGTTCATAATTCTAGAAGGATGTATATGTATTATCCTAGAATAGAGAGGGACGTTATTGCAATTGGCCTTTTCTTATTTTTGGGTTTCCTTTTTTTTTTTTTCTTTCTTTTAATTCCCCCAACATATTATCTTCATTCCCTCGCTCTCAAACAAACAAAAGAAAAGCAGAAGTTAAAGGAACAGACCACTGTTTATTTCATCCATTTCAGGTAATCCCAGAAACTTAGTAAAGTATACGCATTTTTGCATCACTGTTTAGTTGTGTTTATTACAATTAATATTAGGTCCGGTGTTTGTCACTAGAGTCTCGGAATTAATATTGTGTTTTTAATTTGTGTAGACAAATTATCTCGAAAGAGAAATTATCAGAGTATTGGAATGAGGCATGTCCAAATAAAAATAATGGATACATAGGATTTTATAGACAAGTCATTTTAGATTGTTTAGCTACCTTGTGATGCACAAATAAATGGTGTCAGCAGTGGGCAGAGCTCGAATTTTCACTAAAGGAAGTTAAAATATAAATAAGTAAGTAAACGTAGAAGTCAATGGGATTCAACATTAGTATATATACTTAGAGTTTTTATTTATTTATTTATCTACACAGTGTAATTTTCCGGTGTTAAGGGTGGCTCCGCCACTGTCATAAGTTCGAGCCACAAATTTGGCTTGCAGTTTAGTTAGTTTGAAATTTAATTAGGAGTAAGTTATTTATGCATTGGATAGCTTAAGTAGACATTGTTAGTTAGTTAGTTAGCTAGCTTAGATAACTTCCTATTGGTTAAGAGCAGTTGTATTTCTCATAGCTACTTGTCTTTTAGTATAAGTACATGTACTTGTAGAAGGAATAATGAATACAATTCTTCGATTCTTCACTTGGATGATGGTTTTGTGATGAATCTGCTCCAAAAGCTTCGACTCCAGGCCAAAAGTTACTAAAATGTGCTCAAAGATTGTATTTATACGCTTTGGCACAGTGCACAAGAAATTTCCAGATTGCCCTTTGTAGATTAACTTTACCGGAGGTTGTGCAGTCGCACGGCATCTTTAATGTATAACCTCTGCAGTTTTCTTCTGTTGAGCGTGCAGTTGACAACCATGCCACTGAACTGCATACACATGATCATTGTTCTTTGGGAAGTGCGGTCACCTTCCAAGTTGTTGAACTGCCCGTCAGCACTTCACCTTTATTTGTGAGGTTCAAGTTGGTTGGAATTAACTGTGAAGGTGAATATAATGCTAGAAATAACAGTAGAAATAGAACATTAAGAAAATGGGGATGAGAACAGAGAAACACAGAGAAGGGGTGGAGGGAGAGGAAGCCAGAGAAGGTGATGAGAAGGATCAGAACCAATATCATTCATAAAATTCCCCCTTCCTCAAAACAAATCTTGTCCTCAGTGTTCGAGTCCGGATATAAGAGCTTATGCAACCAGACACCAAGTTGTGACTAGCAGTAAACCACACCACATACATCACTTGGCCTTGAATCCTCTCGAAGTTCTACCGCTGATGCGACCATATGCCAAGTTGTGTATCCGCATGAATCATTGCAACCTTCATTCCATTTTTCTTCCTTTGTTTATCTTTCTTTCCACTCCTTGGCTAAATTCTTCTGGGACTGCAAAAAATGATGTTTTTCATCAGATAACATCTAAATTGCTTGCTAACAAACATGCAGTAATTTTAGTAAATAAGCATTTGTAATTTGATGTAAAATCGACTTATCAACAAATTAGATTTTAGCAAAAACTCTTCTATCCCCTGCTCTCTTTCATCTTCTCTTTTGCAATTCTTGTTCAAGTCTCTCGGAAGTTTCCTTCAGCTTCCACGAGTTGAATAACCAATTCTCGAATTGTCACTAGTTCTTGAATTAGGTGTAACACATTCTTTGCAGTTCATTCTGAAGCAGTGTTGAACCGTGTAACAGAATATCTGTAACATAACGTTGTGTTATTTATTGGTTTATTAATTATTTATCTCGTATGTTTTGCAGCCTGTAGTTCTAAATTGATCGACAGTAAATAAGAATTATGAGTCGGGTTCTGGATTTCTTCTTAGAATACTCTTTACCGAGAATATCAGATTTCCACAATGGCTGTACAAGGTTTCAAGATTTGCAACAAATTAGTTCACGTTCGTCTTATGGGAAGCCTTCTGCAGTCCAAAGTTGTAAAAGGGTTCAATTTTCACTAGAAGGTTATTACTAAAATTGCTGTCCCAAGCGATAGAAAAAAAAGTCCAAAATCTTGTTATCCTGTTACAAGCTGTGTTCTCAATTTGTTTTTTTTTCCAGCTTTAAATCTGGAGGTAGCTGATCATGCTGATTTGCATTCACTTCCAGATGAGGTAATTTCAATAATTTTACTCTCCTTACATTTAGGAAAATATTCGACAGTTGTTTGTCTATCTAAGTTATAGGTACATGCCCCAACAAGTGCATTGCCTACAAAATGATGTTTTATGCTAACATGTACAATATATAACTTCTATTTCCTAATCCCCGATGTTAAAGAATTCGCCTTATCCAATGAACATACATATAATCCACATATTTTCTTGCTAACCATAAATCTGAATTAGCATCATCTTTTTCTCTCTCCCCGTTTTAATGTTTTGGCTTCGGTTATTCTATTCTATACATGTTAACTGTATTTCTATGCATCATATTCAATTGAATGAGATGACATTTCTGCTCTTGATGTAAACTAACGATATAATTGCCTTTCATGAATGAGGTATAGGCAGATTGCCGTATTTGCTATTGTTAAAGAATCTGAGATTAGAATCAAGCCAATGGAAATTGTGGGGCTGTGTATTAATCATTAGTAAGTGCCTTTGTATCTCCTAATCAATAATTGTGGAGTAATGTATATAACAACTGGTGTTGGCTGAAATTAGTACTCAGCGCCCATTTAAAAGTCTTGCATTCGTCAAGGAGATATGTCGGTAAGTGAATATGTGCTCTGACGTTAGGTTGCATTTCAGATGCTTACATCGATTTTGTTACGTATGTTAAAAGAGTTGAAGTCTCTGGAAAATTTGGTTTTACTTTAAGTACCGGGTTTGTTGTGGTTGTTTATCCGATAGTATTATTAACTCACTTATATTCAGCAGCCGCAAAGTTTTGGTTCAACAGCTAAGGTAGTGCAGCGCTCGCATGTCACGAATTGGAAGCCTAGCTTTTGAACCAAGACAGGTATTAAGTGGAGAAGGGTAGAGTGGTGGGCCTAGTACGCACTGACTTTCGAAGCTAAACAACAATGAATTTCTCAGTCATAAAAAAAGTCATGTTTTGTACGCCACATGTTATAATTTTCTGCAATGATTAAAACTTGACTTTCTAGTTTGAGTGTTGTTAGCTCAGCAATAAATTAGGGAAGTATTAATATATCAAAGTGCTCCTTTACTTTACCTGATGCACTTTTGAATGGGCATGAAGATTAGGTGTTTACATCATTACATGCATGTTTGGTTAGATGGCTTATGTGATCATCAACTGAAAAAGCTTGATCGTTCCTTACTAGTTTTACTGGTTTCATGTTGTGATACATACTATCATTATCTAAAGAAGATGAATCTTCGAAACTTCAAAATAGATTTTGAGCAATTGAATCATAGAAGCAAGAGGATATTCATACGTCTAAGATCTCTTATGTATATAATGCTCTTTCTGAAAGCTCCTTAGACTTGAAATTGATGTAGAATTTAATCTGATAGCTTTAATTCTACCAGCTTATTTGAAAAATTGATTGGGAATGTAAAAAACATAAGAAACACATAAAAAAATAACGTGATAATTGTAGATTTCAAGAAGAAGAATGAAACTTCTTGTATTTCAGTATGTTTTTACATCCAATGAGCACTAGTATTTATACAGAGGTTCCTATGGCTAATTTAGGAAAGGAAATCAATTACAGTTATTACACAAATCAATTAGAATAAAATCTCCTAGAATTGAATCAAATCTCCTAAAATTAAGTTTCTTACAATCAAGCTAGTCAACATAATCAAATCTCCTAAAATTAAGTTTCCTACAATCAAGCTAGTCAACACTCCCCCTCAAGTTGGTGCAAAGATGTCACACATGCCAAACTTGCAAACCAAAGTGTGGAAGGTTCGTCTGTTGAGACCTTTTTTATGCACATCAACTAGTTGTTTCTCTGATGATACATGAAGTATAGTCAAGACACCATCTGTGATCTTTTCGTTGATGAAATGTCGATCAATTTCAACATGTTTCGTTCGGTCATACTGAACAGGATTATGAGCTATGCTGATTGCAGCCTTGTTATCACAATACAAGGAAAGTTTCCCTTTTTCAGACAATTTCAATTCCTCTAGTAGCTTTTGCAACCACAAAAGTTCACAAACACCCTAGGCCATAGCTCTATATTCTGCCTCGGCACTTGATCTGGCAGCTACACTTTGCTTCTTGCTTCTCCAAGTAACCAAGTTCCCTCCTACGAGTGTACAATAACCGGATGTGGACCTTTTGTCATCTAGAGAACCAGCCCAATCTGCATCTGTATAAGCTTCTCCACGGAGGTGACCGTGTTTGGAGAAAAGGAGACCTTTGCCTGGAGCAGACTTTAAATACCGCAAAATGTGGAAGACAACTTGCATATGAGAATCCCTAGGATCATGCATGAACTGACTTACCAGGCTGATTGAGTAAGCTATACCTGGTCTAGTGTGGGAGTGATAAATGAGTCTTCCAACCAAGCTCTGATATCTCTCCTTATCAACAGACTCTCCAACTCCTGTTTGTAACTTGTGATTGCTTTCAATAGGCGATTTTGCTGGTTTGCATCCTGTCATATCAGTTTCTTTCAAGAGATCCAAAATATACTTTTTTGAGAAATAAAGATTCCCTTTTTCAATCTGGCAACCTCAATTCCCAAGAAGTACTGTAATTTTCCAAGATCATTGATCTCGAATTCCTGTGCCAACAAGTTCTTCAACCGAACAATTTCCTCTTTGTCATCTCTTGTCATTACTATATCATCAATATAAACTATGAGAAGAGTGATTTTACCGCTTGATGTCTTATGAAGAGAGTATGATCGGCATTGCTATGTTGGTATGGTAACCAAAAGAGATCATTACTTTACAAAATCTGTCAAACCAAGCTCTAGGGGATTGTTTCAATCCGTACAGGGCTTTCTTCAATCTGCACACCTTCCCTTGACTATGTTCAGTATCAAATCTAGGAGGAATCTCCATATACACTTCTTTTTCCAAGTCTCCACGAAGAAAATCATTCTTCACATCAAACTGTTGTAAGTCCTTATCAAGATTAGCTGCACAAGATAAAAGAATTCTCATAGTGTTCATTTTAGCAACAGGGGCAAATGCTTCTTGATAGTCCACTTCATAAGTTTGAGTGAATTCCTTGGCCACCAATCTTGCTTTGAATCTTTCAACTGAGCCATCAACTTTGTGTTTCACAATGAAGACCTATTTGTAGCCAACCAAATTCTTGTCTGGGGTTGATGTGCTCCCAAGTGCCATTTTTTGACAAGGCCTTCATTTCTTCAATCATAGCTTGCTTCCATTTAGGATCTGCAAAAGCTTCCCTCCAATTCTGGGGAATAGACATAGAAGAAATAGACAAGGCAAAGACTCTATAGGACGGAGACAAAGAATTATAGGAGACAAAATTGGATAAAGGGTGTTTAGTGGTGCAAGATCTGACTGCTTTTCTGTGAGCAACATGCAAATTTAACTTATTAGAAAATGTAGATAATTCACCATAGAAGAGGGTTCGGCAGAAGAGGATTCAACTTTAGTAGATTGCATGATGACTTCTTCTGCTCTATTTCTCCCCGAGTAAGTTATCAAATCAGGTCTGTCCAAATGCCCAATAGTCTCCCCCTGAATTCTTTCTCCAATTTCACTTTCCTTTGTGGTAGTGGTAGTGGTATCAATTGTGGCGCTAGGGAGAATAACCTCTTCCCCATTATAGCTCCCCCCTGAAGATTCAATGGTGTAATACTGAAATAGGGCTCAGACTCTCAAAAAGTAACATTCATGCTGACACGGGATCTCCTAGAGGGAGGATGATAGCATTTGTACCCTTTATGTGTTGGAGAATACACGATAAAGATACATTTAAAAGCTTTAGGATCAAGTTTCCCAGATTTTCTAGTGTGAACAAAGCAGAGACACCCAAACACCTTCGGAGGAACAACATAGTAATTTTTACCTTTTAAAGCTTCCAGAGGACTATGAAAATTGAGAGTTTTAAGCGGCATTCTGTTGATGAGATAGTCAACTACTAGAATGGCATCCCTCTAGTAAGATTTTGGTAGATTCATGGTAAACATAAGAGATCTTGCTACTTTTAACAAATGCCTATTCTTCCTTTCAGCAACCCCATTTTGTGCACTAGTATAAGGACAACTTGTTTGGTGGATAATCCTATAAGACTCCAATAAGCACCAAATTTTCTATCCATGTATTTCGTGCCATTGTCGGTTCATAAGATTTTTATCTTAGTCTCAAATTGATACAAATCATCTTATGAAACAACTGAAAACAGGAGAGAACTTCACTTTTGGCCTTTAACAAATATACCTAAGTTATCCTAGTATAACAATCAATAAAAGTAACAAACCATTGACTACCAGACAAAGAAACTGTTTGAGTAGGACCCCATACATCAGAATGAATAGTAGAAAAAGGAGTTGTACTTTTATTATCGCTTAAAGGATAAGAGTTTCTAGTATGTTTGGCAAATTCACAAGCATCACAAAACAGAGATTCAAACTCGGTTTTAGAAATCAAACTAGGATATAGCTTATTCAAAGCAAAAAATTATGGATGTCCCAACCGTCTATGCACTGTATTATTTCTTGGTTGACATCTTTATTTCCTCCAAAAAAGGCCTGACCAAAGTTTTGAGTTCCATCAATCCAATATAAGTCATCATGCAATCTATCATTGCCAATCCTCTTCCTTATTTGAAGATCCTGGAAAACACAATGATCAGGGAAGAATAAAACACTACAATTTAGCTTTTTGGTGATGGCGCTAATAGATAACATGTTAACAGGAAACTCAGGTACATGGAGAACCGATGATAATGTAATATCAGGAATACGGACAACAGAACCTGTTCCAAGGACAGGAGGTAGAGAATCATTGGCTATTTTGACATAATCCCCTTTGGGACTAGGAGAGTAATTTTGTAAGCCTTTAGAGGAGCCTGTCATGTGTCTATTCGCACCCGAATCAATAATCCAAGAATTAAGGTGAGCATTAAAGGCAATACCTAACTGCACATAGTTGGAACTAGCAATATTAGAAAACATTTTCTGCAATATTAACATGACCCTTTGATGGACTTGCACGCTTTCCTTCACTACCTCTAGTTGGTCTACCATGTAGTTTCCAGCATGTCTCTTTTGTGTGCCTTGGCTTTCCACAATAATCACAATGCATATGATCTTTATCAGAAATGATTGCCCTTGGTTGCTCATGAGACACAGTTAACCCGGATTTCTCCGTTGGTGCTGAATAAAGCATGACCCCACGCCGACTCTCTTCTTGTTGAACATAAGAGTATGCATCTTCAAGAGAAGGAAGAGGAACTTTACCGAGATTTTGAACCCTGATTTGATCATATTCTTGGTTCAAACCGGCCAGAAAATCATAGACCCTGTCATTTTCAACCAATTGTTGAAAGAGAACTGCATCATCAGTACACTTTGCTTAGAGATCCTAATAGTAGTCAATTTTCTTCCATAATCCACTTAACTAGGAATAATAATTAATGACAGTCAACTCACCTTGCTTAGTCGCATGGATTTATTTCGAATCTCAAAGATCTGGGCATCATTTCCCTTGCGTGAGTAATGTTACGCCTTCCTGAAGTTCCTTGGAAGGGCGACGTAAGGCTAAGCAACCGATGTCAGTGCGATTGTTGTCCGCCAACTGAGGTCCCCTCCGTACGCTAGACTACATTGTCTGTGCCGTACGGGAAAACCAATGTCGTGATCAATTGAAAGAGAGAGCAGAAAAGAGAATTGAGA